TCTGGAACTGGGATCCACAGATCATAAACAAAGGCAACCTTCTATCTGCAAAAGGTGTGAACAGCATTCTCAGAGCACCAACGTGTCCAAAAGCATCTAGGAAATACTTTTTCCTTCCACCAATTATAAACGGTCTGTGTAAAATATACATCCATATGGCCCTTTCCATACCTGGCTTAACGTACAAATAAAAGCGAACCTCTGATCAAAACCATCCATGTTATGAAAGAGCCATATGATCTCAAAAGCTATTTGACTGAATTGCTACAATATGATAGCAAACAACAACTGGCATGGACTAAACAATGGAAAAGACCTGTGCTTACTAGGACTAATAACGGTCTTCTATTGAGGAAACACAAATGAAAAAAGGGAGAAAGCCAAGTGTCATTACACATTCTGTCTGAATATACAGTATATATGTACAGTACATATAAAACTAGCAAAAAATGTACCTTGAAATTCATTTCAAGAGATGGCAGTTACTTGCCTTAATTATTTATCACATAAATGATACAACACTGGAATATTCACCATCCCTTCAAATTAACTTCCTTTCAGCAATTCAGGATTTGTGCCAGTGACAACAGATGAACTAATAATGTACATAACCCCATGCTTTAAAAGGATGAGTGGAGGTGTTTACAGCATGGAAACAAGTATAACATAGGGGCTCATATTTACAAAGCAGTGAATGTGGCCTTACACCAAGCATTTAGACAGTAACCCCATGCTTTAAATGGAGTGGGAGGTGTTTACAGCATGAAAACAAGTATAACATAGGGGCATATTTACAAAGCAGTGAATGTGGCTTACACCAAGCATTCACTGAATTTGAATTAATCACTGTCGCTTAAAAACACATGCACCAGGAAAATTCACAAACCGTGAACGTCACTGCTTTATGAATATGCTCTTAGTGGTCAGTTCAAACATCAAGGGAAATGTCTCAGATTTAGTAAACAACCCCTTAAATGGCAAACCCACATCATTTCATTATTGAAATACAAAAATATCTCCAACGATCACTACTAAACGGACAGGGTACTATATATTTCACAGCACCATCCTATGCAACCTATAAAAGAATTTCACACAACAGCACAATTAAACTGCCACAGCAACTTTTTTTGTAGCAAATTTGGCAAGAAATCATAAAAGGTCCTTTACTGGGACCGACTAAGCACTGTTGCGGCATATTGCACAAAACACCTGAGTTACGTCATTGAGATGAGCCCTGGACTCATATCAAGTTTTAGAAAATAGTAATATAGGTCATCTCTGCATTTTAAGGGCTATTTAGTAGCCTCATATTGTATAACGTGGCTATTAAGTATGGATTTGTGAAAATCCAAGAAACAAAATGACTAATACATGATAAGCTATAGTTAAACAAATTACTAAGAAATACTTCTTATGGCTTGTGCGAGTTATGATGCACCAGTCTTTGTATGCATATTCTTGCATCTACAAATTCATACACAGATCACCATGAAGACAATACACCACCTATACACTACTAAAGGCTGCTGTACTACTTCACAGAATGTCTGACTGATGAATCAAGCAGTACTTAAACCTGCATCTACTGCAGAGGACACACATTCAGTAAATACAATTGCATCCTGATGGAAGAACGTATAGTAGGCGTTGCTTATAAATACAACTCCTTAAAAGTGTCACTTTAATAAAAAAAAAAAAAAAGAAAGTGAACAGCAGGCAGTTCTAAACAGAGAAAGCTCCTAAATTGCTAGCTGCCTGCTCTCTACACTTGTTTTTTTTTTTACCTTTTAAAGAGATAGTCACTTTAAGTAGTTGTATGACAAGGTTGAGTAGCCCAGTCACTTTAAAATAAACCTGTCATGAGAAAAATCCAGGGGCTGCCACAGTCAAACTTTCTTTTTAACATACTCGTTGCCTTCCATTATTTCCTCATTTAATGGATTTACTTTTTCAGTTTTCATTAGGCGGTAAGTCACTAATCTTAAAGCGGAGTTCCACTCGAACTGTAAAAAAAAAAAATAAAAAGTCAGCAGCTACAAAAACTGTAGCTGTTGACTTTTAAAAAAAAAAAAACAGCCACTCACCTGTCCCACGATCCCACGGTGCCCCCGCTGCAGCGCGTTTCACCGGCTGTCCTGTGTTCCAGGCGCTGGCATCTTCAGTGTGGGCACCCGGCTGTGACAGCTTGAGGCTTCACAGCCGGGTGCGCATGCACGAGTAGCGCTGCACTTCGTGAATGGCCCCGTCATCTTCTGGGACCTGTCACATGTCCCAGAAGACTACGGGAGGGAAGGTAAGAGGACAACTTCCGCTTCCAATCGCCTAGGCGATTGCATCGGAAGTGGGAGATGGTACCTGTCAATTTCGGGTACCCGCTTCCCAAAAGGTGCCAATCCTTAATGGGGAGCAGGGGACAAGTCTTTAAAGCGGACCTTCCCCTTTTGGGTGTAACTCCACTTTAACCAGCATGTGCAAATTAGTTATAGGGATATCGGATATGTACATGCTTGCTCTGGGTCAGAGTAGTAATTGATAATGAAAATGGCAGCCATGGAGTGCAATGTGGACCTAACCTTAAACATGTACACTAAGGTCCCTTTCACAAGGATGGACTCCGCTAGTGGATCTCCCTGTTCAGCAAGGGATCTGTCCGCTGATTCCCGCTGAGCATGTGGATGAAAAGTTTGTGACACAATCCACTTTCCTCAATGGGCGGTCGGATGTAAACAGACTGCCTTTCAGTTTACATCCAACTGTCACTCGATCTGCTAGATCAAGGGTCTCAAAACTATGGTCCTCCAGCTGTTGAAGCACTACAAGCCTCTGGCTCAGAGTCTTGCCTGTGGCTGTCAGAGTCTTGCAAGGCCTCATGGGACTTGCAGTTCCTCAACACCTGGACGACCATAGTTTGGAGACCCCTGCACTAGATGGATGGGGAACAGATCCTCATATGTCTATTTTTAGAGGATCGGATTACACATGTCTGTTTACATCCACTGCTCCAAAGAGGGCAATGGATGGTCCAATCGAGTCCACCTGTCCCTTTTTTTTGCCCGTGTGAAAGGGGCCTAAATGTGGTAAATCAGAAAATTCATGGAAGCAGCAGCACACTTCCAAACATGCAGCAGTGCCCAAGCACACTCCATTCTTTTAGCCTATCAGGAGTTTAACAGCATACTAAACCACTCCTGTTTTCATTACTGGATTACATTGCCGTGTCTTCAGAGGTCAAAATTTAACAAAAGAGACACTGCAAAATACAGTAATTAAAATAGAAGGAAAAGCTTAAATGACCAAGGTTTAAAAATGTTGTCTCCCCATGCTTATTCATGCTGCATACTACAAAATGGCAGTGCACAGCAAAATCTCAGTGTAAATACTTGCAACTTCTGTACACAGTGGAAGGGAATTCTTTCCCATGCCGACAAAAGGGGAGCACTGGAAGCCAGTGGGCAACGTGACAGCTCTGTGCAAATCAGCCCTTTTGAGCCACTCATTGACACAGGGATAGCTGGAGCTGTGTGATCATGTGACAATATTTACACCAAGTTTTTTTACAAACAGTATGCAACATGTATATAAGCAGTGGGGAAGCAACATTTAAACCTTGGTCATTTAAGCCTTTCCGTCTAATGTAAGTAATAGAACAACTGACCTGCCTTGAACTTTTGAAAGGATAAGGATGCTTGAGTCTAGGTCCACGTTAAATAAGTTCACCTTTAAGAACATGTTACATTTTCCACGTTTTTTAGGGTGTAACATGTAACATGTTCCCAATGCTGCAGCCACTGCCCGATTTCCCCCCCGTATGGGCAAGCAGACATACTGACAGATCTGCAGGAGACCTGCATGGCACCAGTGACCTGTTGATCACTGGTGCAATGCTTTCCAGGCTCCTGCAACCAAAAATAATAAATGCACATTTTTTTTTACCTGCAAAAAATGTGCATTTATTTTTTTTTTTAGGCGGTCAAAAGGTGAACTTATCCTTTAACCTTTCAAAAAAAATAATTCAGCAATGGCTGCCCCTGTATTTCTGTCCTATTTAGATCCCCATAGACATTAGATGCCATTGTTTGATGCCTATGATTTTAGCAAAACAACTGAGCAGTCTACATTAGTATAACCAACTGCAACAGGACTTTGGGGGACCTCTGCTCAATAAAGACATCTATTGGCCATGCGGAGAATTTTTTACTAAAAGCATAGCTTTCATATTTTTTAAGCCAACACAAAAGTTGTACATTAGTTATCAAAAATATTGCAGGATGTGGATGAGTGATCAGGAACTCTAAATTTCCAATGCAACCAAATTCCGCACTGCCATCTAATGCCTATGGGCTTTGTTGGCTCTATAGCGTAGCCCAAAGTTGCAGTGACAAGTATACTACATTTATAGAAGAACACGATAACCTCATGAAGTTTTCTTAAAGAGTAATTCCATTTTTGTCATGGAAGTTTAATTAATCTGCTTGAATTTTCCCTCACTATTCTGGCCTTAATGTATTACTGCAAACTGATGTAACTAGTGAAGTGGGTGACATATGAAATTACAGAAACCTATAAAAATATATAAGAAATCAAAGCATTAAAAATATACATATACATGGGAAAAGATTTCTACGGAAGTTTTGGGAATGACAAATGGAAAGTTGTCAGGTATTTAAACAGTATTGCTGGATGACAGGCTATTAAATATACAATAAAATCAATTAAAAAAGATCTATAAAAAACTCCTATTGAATAAATAATTGTTGAGTGATCAGTCTGTGGCATATTATTACAGTTGGATACAGCCCATTTTAGATCCTATACAGTATTTACAGTGCTAATAATTTATCAGGTGCACACACAGTATTTTGGAAATGTTTTCACACTTTGATGGTCTGATAGTCATTGGACATGTACATTCATTCATTCTCATGTTGACGTACAAACGCACAAAAAAAAAAAAAAAAAAAAACCACACACGCGCGCGCGCTCTTCGTGACTTGGCTCTATACAGAGGTCTCGGCGTCCACGTACTTGCGGAGAGAGCCGTCTTCAATTGTGATTTTTACACTTACTGGTTTGTCAGGGCTGTGAAAAATAAACAGATCCTAAGTGAAATTAAACTATACAGACTCCATAGATGTACAATTGCAAACATCAGGTGTTAAAATACAAAACTGAATACATAAAACTTGCACTGAAGCAGGATAGGCATTCCAGAGAAAGGCAGAAACAGTATTAATACGTTTTAGTAAATTGCAACAAATAAGTTGAAACGAATGTTAGGTAGGCACACAGAACAGGAAAGCAACATGCATGAGTAATTAGTATCATATCTACCCTGGATCTTAATGGGTTCCCCAATAAACCTAATGTGGGCTCCTGCTTAAAACTTGTCTGTGTAGTAACACAGGGGGGTCTCCCACCTCCGAAATGACCCAGGATCCACTACACTTTTCAGTGATTATGTAGAATATGGATTGACCCGCAGCAACCAATCAGATTTCTAGATAGTTATGTCAATTCAACAAAGACAGAATATAACAGGTTGCTGCATTCTGGTTGTTTGTAAAACACAACATCAATCAAGACATCAGAATGGAGGAAGCACAATGCTGATCCTCACTTCTGGGACCGAAGATGAAATCTGAAAATACTTTTACAGGTATAATTGAGGGTATGCAGGAGGTAGGGACCCCTCCAAGATTGCTACATGGATGGGTCTTAAGCAAGAGTGCAATTTGGAAAGTCCCTTTAACAAGTCTAAAAAAAAATTCTGCATGCATATTTTTATTTTACATTTTTTCACTATGCCATGAAGGGCACAATAAAATGGCACCTCTAATATCCTCCTGTGTGATGTATTGGATGGTCTCTGTACTATACCTGGCTGGGAATCTTTTCTGCAAATTATATTCCTGCTGGTCTCTGGTTTTGCTCTTCCGAGGGTGCGACCTCCTATGTTACATGACAGGTTCACTAACAAGCAACAGTTTTACTGGGCCATAACCAACCTCACCAACGTTTTATAAAGACGTGGGTGTTCCCCTTTGCTTAGGTGCTGGAGTGGACTAATTCAATTCAGTATCAACACAAGCTTTCTACTCAACAGTTGAAAATCCGAGAAATTAGAAATATTAAAGTGATACACGCCACATCTCTGCACACTCAAAAACCTCAACAAATGCATGCCTGTGCAAAGACAATGCATACTGTACGTGCTGTGTGCATGTGCTTCTGGCTGACACAAGGGACATGTATAAAAGATATACTGTGTATGTGATCAAAGACATATTTTGTATGTAAAAAACATACAGTGATATTGAAAAACTGTAACTGATGAAAATATAACAAATAACCAAAGCAGCTAATAGGCAGTACAGTGAGTGCAGCTCTTCTAAATTGTGTCTATGCCCATCACTGCACTGTATTGACTGCCATTTTCTTTTCCATTATGGAGCAAGCTATTCCCCAGTTCAGATCTCCTTCATGATGATATTCAGAGGAGCAAACACTTACATTTTCCCAGCTGGTACTATCAGTAAGTGGAACTAGAGCACCATAAATTAGCATTTATTTTGAAAAAAGAAAAAAGGGTTGTAGCCCTTAAAAGCAAAGTTATGAGGCAATTTTAAATACAAGCAAAGCTTAGTAGAGTATTCTAAAAAAAAAATGTTTTGTTATATACAAATTTCAGATGGTTCTGGAATACATTTTTTTTTCTCTTAACAAAAAATGTTGAAAGGTTTTTTCAGAGCACTTTTATACATGTCCCATTATGTTGCAGCAGACTCTTTAACTTACCATCACTTTATGACACTGACATTTTTTTACAACCTGTCAATAACAACTTTGCGTTAGCCCTGTTGTCTTAGCCAGACATAAGAATATAATCCTTGGTTGAAAAAGTGAAGTGTGCAGATTGCCAAAGTGCAAATGGACCACATTATCATCACTTCTCCTTTACTGCTGCTCACCTCATCCCAGCAGTGCATACTCACCTTTCCTTCACTCCCAGCTGCACCAATCATCAGTATTGTCATGTGGAAAGACTCTTGACCTTGTGTAAGCTACAGTATGAATGATTAAGGTTTGGTTCACATCTGTGCGGGTGGTGCCGCTGCAGATCCGCACAAAAATCCGTGCAGCCGCTGCACCACCCACACAGAAGAATGCGGACCCGCGGGCAGGTGCCATTAATTCTAATGGCACACCGCCCGCACTGGAAATCGCAACCGCTCTGGGAACCGAGGTTCCCGTGCAGGCTGTTTCCAAAGAAGTGCAGGGACTTCGTCCCTGCGTGTCCCGAGGCACGAGAGTCCATTCAAATGAATGGACTCTCATGCCCACGCAAAATGCGGCCCGCATATATTTGAACCAGGGCTTACATAGAGTTGCTTGTCCTTCTAAATAATGCAGCAGGGAGAAAAGAATACAAAAAAAAAAAGAAAAAAAAAAAAAAAAAAAAAAAAAAAGAAGGTAGTTTGGGTTCGCCTGTCACTTTTTTTTTTTAGGCGGATACAATCGGACTCTTCTATGGAATGGTGGCTGTAAACGCACATATGTCCATTTTCACCCACCTACATCCAATCCAATTTGCTAAAAACAGATGGATGGGGATACTCATACCCATACATTTAGCAGATCGGATTCTAGAACAGTCAGGTGTAAACAGACAGGTGGTCCGTTTACATTGAACCACCCATAAAGGGGAGCAGACTGTGTCTGCTCTGCATAAGCGGAGCGGACACAGACAAGTTATCTGCCTACTTAGCGGGGATCAGTGGAATCCGCCCAGTGTGGAAGGGGCTCAAAGCACAGCCTCTTCTTTTCCCTGGTGTGAGTCCAACACAGGCACGGTATGAAATAAAATGACAATTCTTTATTCATGATCCATCGAGACAAAAAAAAAATACATCCAGTAAAAAGATTAATGCTTTTAAGCCCCACAACCTTTGGGCCTTAGTCAGAATCATAATTTTTTAATGTTTCGATGGATTATGAATAAAGAATTGTAATTGTACAGGTGTACCTCAGTTTCCCCCAAAAGGGGAAGTTCCGCTTTAAAGACTGGTCCCCTGCTCCCCATTAAGGACTGGCACCTTTGGGGAGTGGGTACCCGAAATTGACAGGTACCCACTCCCACTGCGAATGCCTAGGCAATCAAAAGCGGAAGTTGTCGTCCTACCCTCCCTCCCCCGTAGTCTTGTGGGACATGCGACAGGTCCCAGAAGAGGACAGGGGCCCATTCAGGAAGATGCCGGCGCCTGGAACACCATACGGCTGGTGAAACTGGCTGTGGGGAGGACACCGTGGAATAGTGGGACAGGTGAGTGGCTGCTTTCTAAAAGTCAGCAGCTACAGTTTTTGTAGCTGCTGACTTTTATTTTTTTACAGTGTGAGTGGAACTCTGCTTTAAGGATGAAGAAGAATGATGGCCTCAGAGCCTGCACCTTCAAAAACAAGTGAGCAGTGGCAGCTCCTATATTTCTATCCTGACAGGTTCCCCTTAAAAGCACTAAATCTAAATTACAGCATGATGCAAATATAAAGTAAGATCACATTACAGATATATCTGTGATTTTTTTTTCCCAAGGTTGCAACAGAAGTTTATGTTCCGATTGCATTAGTAAGCGGAGAATAAGCAATTAGCCAAAGCGTTTCCTATGTTACACATTGGCTGAAATGTCAATGTTTGCAGCACACACATAAAATCTACCTTTGATTATAATAAATGCTTGATACTACAAGAGTTTGGCAATTTGCGCATTCTTAAAAAGTGTTAAAACGTTCAAATAGAACGGATGCAAATCATGTAGAAAATCTTATTGTTAATACAGTACTCACCATTGTTTACATAAGCATCTAATAAATACGCAGAAATGAATGCAAACAAGCAGGTTTCATTTGTTTCCCTCATATCCTGTTTCAGTGACACCATGTCATGACATGCACTAATGCCTACAGGGGTCTCACAAACAGTAAGGTGTTAAACCTGAACTGCAAGGGAACTAGTAAAATGATGTAGACGTTGATAAATTGGGAGTTTGCACAAAACCTGTTTATCTGCATAGTATTCGACTCATTTCAGCAAAGCTTAATTAGACAGTATGTTAAAGTGAGATAGCTACCTCTGGTTAGATTTGGATGATTTGGCATTTTCAGGATTCATTGAAAGAGCCTTCCACTGTGCTGTTTTTGCCATCTCATCTGATATGTTTACAACTGATGGATCAAGGCTAGAGAAGAAACATAAGTTGAAGTTAGTAGCTTACCCTAATGCAGGCCATACATGGTTTGAACTCCGAACTATTTTTCGTCCGAAAATCTAAAACGTTGTTCGCTCGGTAATCCAAAGGTGCCATCAATGATTTCGAAAATTGGCCGACCAAGTCATAAAGTTCACCCCATATAACAGGCGAAACTTCTGTTCCTTCCAGGTCACAACTCATGCGCATATTCTTTTCCGAAAAATGTTCGTACGATTTGACATCGAGTTAAAAATCAGTAATTTTTCACAAATTTTCCAACATGCCCGATCACCGAAAAGGGGAGGAACCATGAAAATTGACCCATTAACCCACTAACAAAGTGAAAATTGGTCGATTATTCTTAGGTCCGATTTTCGGACAAAAATCGGTCGAATTTTGACCCATGTATGGCCGGCCTTAAAGAGCATTAATGGAGTTACAGTTTTAAATCGCTTGCACAGCACTGTGAGGAGGAAATGAGCCACGACCAGTCAAGCTAAACAGACGCTCCAACAGAAGTGAGTTCAACTAGACTCTCTTTTTCCATTTATTACTATAAATGGAGAGAAAAAATGAATCTGTTCCAAACAGCTGAACACACAGTTCAAAAACATACATGAGAGCTACAGTATTTTACCTGTCAAAGATTAGCATTTCTGCTCATTCAGCTCTGCCAGACAGCACATTCCTGGATCTTTTTTCTGCTGTAATTAAGATCAACTTACAAATTTTGTCCCATTCCCCATCATGGACAGTAAAAGGAGTATCAACAGAATAATGATCTCATCTCTCCGTCACTCGGCTCTCTTCTACGATTAGCATGTTAATTGCACAGCAGCACAACTGGCTTCTTGTACTGCTTCTCCCTATTCTAACCCTAGCTCTGCTGTAAAAGGGATTGCAAGAGGTTGATACTAGGGTAAAATTCAAGTACTTGCAACTCTAGGCATTCAAAATTCTGTCTGGATATCAGCTTTAAATGTTTGGGGTCACTTACAGCAGATTTGTTGAAGCTGAACATACGCCTTGTGAATCCCGTATCTACCTATAACGATTACCTATCTGTAGGAGGAAAAAGGGTAAGTCTCCTGTCCTGTCAGGGTTGTATGGCACAGCTATGAAAATCTCAGAACTGAAGAAGAAATCTAAATCCTTTGGCAGGTAAAACATCTTCTTTATATGTATTTTATCTATATATTTACTGTAGATATTACCTTTTCATCTATCTATTTAGCTGTTTGCCAGCAATAAGTTCACATATACAGGCGTACTCCGGTTTACAAATGCCTCGGTTAACGTAATTTTCGGTTTACGAATGAAAATCCATTGAAAATAATGTCTCGGTTTACTAATTTTTTCACAATATGAACGGATTAATTGGTTTTCAATGCATTTACAAATTTTTTTTTAATCATGTCCCTGTACAGTACTATGTCCTTAAAGTGCACTTTATAAAGAGTTTTGAACAGATAAGACTTTTTTTTACTTTTTTCTGACCTCTGGAACGGATTAATTGGTTTTCAATGCATTTACAAATTTTTTTTTAATCGTGTCCCTTTATGCCTTTAAAGTGCACTTTATAAAGAGTTTTGAACAGATAAACCTTTGTTTTTCCACGTTTTCTGACCTCCGGAATGGATTAATTGGTTTTCAATGCATTTACGAATCAATTTTTAATCATGTCCCTGTACAGTATTTATGCCTTTAAAGTGCACTTTATAAAGAGTTTTGAACAGATAAAAGACTTTTACTTTTTTCTGACCTCCAGAACGGATTAATTGGTTTTCAGTGCATTCCTATGTGAAACCGTGTTTCGGTTTACGAATCTTTCGCAATACGAAAAGTCCCACAGAACGAATTAACTTTGTAAACCGAGGTACGCCTGTAGTAGTTTTTAATAGACAGACAGGACTTTCCCAAGAAAGCTTTATTTAGAGCACGGATGTCAAACTGGAGGCACTCCAGCGGTTGCCAAACTACAAGTCCCACGAGGTATTGCAAGACTGACAGTTACAAGCATGACTCCCAAAGATAGGGGCATGATGGGACTTGTAGTTTCGCAACAGCTGGAGGGCCGCCAGTTTGACACCCCTGATTTAGAGCATAGCATTTATTTGAATTTCATTTTTTATGTCCTATTCAGAGAGTTGAATTCATCACGCTGCTGTCAGAAGCAATACTTCCCCTGTACTGCAAGAATGCAAACGTAGGGACATTTACTGACAATATATTTATCTAAACACCACCTCTGAACACTTGTCAGCAGTAAGGGCCAGTTCACACTATAGAAATGTTGTCCAGACGCGTTCTAGATGCAGTTTTACATGCGTATTTTTTTAGTGCATTCCGATGAGTTTTTGATGCGGTTCAGTGCGTTTTTATGCATTCTAGTTAATTTTTTCCCCTCTCTGTCTTTAATTGAAAGAGGAACATGTGCGTTCCAGTGCATTTTTTATGCATTTTGGTGTGTTCTTTATGTGTTTTACCTCGTTCCAGTACAGTTCGGTGCAGAAAAAAAAAATGCAGCCTGTTCTACTTTCTGCAACCGGAACGCACTATAACTGCAAACACTGATGTGAACTATGACATTGGCAGCCATATAACCTACTTTCTGTGCATTTTGGGTGCAGAAAAAAGAAACTGAAACGCATGTACTGTGAACTGGCCCTAAAACTGAGCGAAGATGTGAATAGGAAGCTTACGTTAGCTATACATGCATTGATTTCTCTTTTTCAGCCTTCAGGATAAACAGTGTGGATGGAGGAATAATCTCCTTTATCAGCTATTGTATTAAAGCAGCCATGACACCCATGGCTGCTTGAATACCCAAACAGGGACTGCATCTGATAGGATTCAGTCATTATTTGGTCAACATTTTTACACCTTTTTCTGATCTTTCAAGTGAAATTTGTCATGCTGGGTTGTGTGGACTTGGCCACCCAGGGCTAGTATTTTGGCTGATTCAGCAGGACACAAGTGAAATTCAAATTGTGTATGGCCAGCTTTATAGGAGTCACAAGACTCTCTGCAGACAGGTAACATGCAGCCATTTCTCCTTGCTTTATATAGTAGACTGTGGTAGTAAAAAAAGCATCTTGCTACAACCAGTGCAGCTTGGTTTTAATATTCACAATTTTTAGCATACTGAAGTAGCGGTTGAGAAAACAGTCGGAGCTTGCAAGCAATTGTTGAGTGCAATACTTATGTGTTTCTAGAGCAGCACGAATGTTAACGAGACATCATCATCAACTGAAAAAATTGCAGGTAAGAGCAGAAAAAAATCAAGCTTCTTAAATGCTAACTTACAGCTTTTTTTTCCCTTTCCAAAAATGATTTTATATTCACTTGTAATTTGCCAGAAAATTTACTACAGAATGCTACAGAACATGTCTTGATTGAGAGCAGCCCCAGCAGAATCGAAGCTAACATTACATACAAGATGGGGATGCCCAGCAGCAGAGAAGGATGCTTTTGGAGGTCTACACAAGGAAGGTTTCTACAGGTAAAGGGTCTATTTATATCACTGCCTCAAAAAATATCAAGCATGCAAACAAGATCCTCAACTGCGTACCTGTACTTCAAGCTTTTCACTGGAATTTGGAGAAGACTCCTGCCTTCATAAGCCAACTGGACATTGTCACTGTCCTCCGTGTGGAGCATTCGCTCCGCTTCCTGCAGACAAAGTGAATAATCATTCTCAGCAAGGTATTCATATCCGTTTCTTTTTTTTCTTCTAGTGAATATGTCTTAAAAATGATGTGTCTTCATTAACACTAGTAACGCAGCTGTCATGAACATTATTTTACTGACATTCATGCTTACAAGTAAGCTATCGTGCTTAAGAGGTCATTCAATTATCAAATCGAAAGCATGCAATTTAAATGACATAATTTATTCTACTCATTTTGAACTATTCTCTATGCCTTTTCTTTAATATGTATTGTTCATTGTTATATGCTGCTTATGAAAGAACAGAAAAACCTTTAAAAATCCCAATCAGTACCCTGTTTTGATGTGGTTTTCCAATACCCATTTCGCTAGTTATCATAATGACCTGTAGGGGGCAGCATACACTTGTGCAGGCAGCTCCCCTCAACTTAAAGTGTTACTAAACCCAGGACCCTGCATTCACTATATCCAGTCTCCCACAGTACACATGACATGGAAGAGCAATTATTTTAGTAAATAAAAATTGCTAAATACCTTTTCTCATCAGCAGTTAGAGCAGTCTTGTAACTTCTATTAGTGTCCAGTCAAGCACTGGTTAAAGCTTGTAGGAGGAGTTTTCATTTTGTTCTAGGAGGATGCAGAAATACTGACTTCTGTTTCTACAGTGCTGATTGGCTGTGTACAGATCACATGCACTCCCCCAAGAAAAAAAAAAAACCCTAACAATACACACCAAACTGAGCATGTGTAGAGTGTCTCCACACGTTGTGTCTTATCAGGAGATAATAGGGGGACACAGGAATAAGGGGAGGATCAGAGAAGTCAGGCTCAAACAGCATTTTTACACAATGCAGAGGATTAACCCCTTAGTTTCCACAGGGAGTATAGCAAGCATGCTTTACTGCATATACAGACTGATTTTACTGTTGTGGGTTTAGTAACACTTTAACAGCAATATTTACATTTCTGCCACACACCCATCAATCTCTTTGAATATCAAACTATTTGGTTACAAAGGGTATTTAAAAAGCACGTACCAGCATAAGGATGCAAACAGTAATAAACCTAGCTTACAATTTGGCTATTTCACATTCAATTTAGAAAAAAAGTCTAGCCTACATTATTTATTTGAATAAAGAATATATAAACCCAACATTTCAAATTCCTGATATGTGCCTGCTGTGCCATGTACCTGCATGAAAAAAAGTAACCTGTTCTCTTTGTATTGCTTCCTTTGTGTGAAATCCCCACTGCTCCTGCCAGTCTCTCTGCTTTCCTATTAAAAACTGACTACACTAGGCAGGAGAGCACACCGTGGTCAGTTTTCTAGCTGTGCTGGGAATTCAGCCTGCTCCCCTCCAATGATCAGACATGTGCTGACACATCCCCTGCACAGCATTTAACTGGGAAGTTCAGAGAACTTCTGCTTCTCCTCCCCTAGCTCTTGAACAGTCCGAGAACAGAGGGAATGTGATCACTTATAAAAAAAAGGTAGAAAGGTGTATGTGTATGTATATATATATGTATGTATGTATATATATATTTTTTTTTTTTTTTTTTTTATACATCTATACACAAATGTTTTGACTTTCATTTCTATTTTAAACTCAAGGGGTTGTTTTACAAGGTGACTTTGATGTATATCTGAAGCCAAAACTTTTTTTTTAGTTTGCTTTGGATAGAGGAGAGGATGGTTAAAAGACCTGCCAGTGTTTTTTTTTTTTCCCCATGTTGGTTGTAAGCAAAACAAGTGTCATCAGTGGCAGAAATGTCACTTTAGTCTGTTCTGGGGGAGAAGGCAAAAAAGGCAAAGTGTGAGAGAGGGAGAAGGGAGAGCGAGAGACGGGGAGAAGGGAGAAGGGAGAAAGAAAAAGGAAATTCTAATCTACTACACACACGGTTTACTATGGCTTTTAATGCTTCAGAAATATAAAATTGATAACCTGCAAATCATTGTATAGGAGCACTGTAGATTGTCTGCAATGATAACTCATTTGCTGACATACCACACAGACCACATTAGAAACGAATATAATTTGAGCAAGTTTACATCTTTTTCTTGGAGTCAGAGCCAAGTCTGTGTGAACTTAAAGCAGAACTACACTGCATCTGAGCACCAAAAACTAGATTTGATTCATTTTTCATTTTGAAAGCAAACAAATCCATCCATGTCTCCGTGCTTTATTTTGCTGTGAAATCACCCCCCTAGCATTTCTGGCTATGGCCATCTTAAAGCAGAACTTCACGCTCTCAGTCAACATGGACTATTTTTAATACCTATGCTGTTAGCATTAGTAAATAGATAGGAAAGTATATCATAGTTACTTGTTTTAAACTTTTTTTTTTTTTTTTTTTTTTTACAGTTTCTACAGTTACTTCCAGATTTCAATACCTAGGCAAATGATATCATACATCCCAGGAGTCTTCAGGAGGGGAGGGTTCTCAGCTCAGCCAATGCCTGAGCTAAGGGCAGATGTATTCCAGGAAGAAAATGCTACATGAATCATCTGCCCTTACTCAAGATGGCCGCAGACAGAAATACCAGGGGGTGTTTTTCAAAATGAATTCTCAACAAAATAAAGCATGGAGACATGGATGGATGGGTGAGTTTGCTTTGAATATTAACAATGAATTAAATTGCATTTTTGGTTTGTGGTGCTCAGATGCAGTGTAGTTCCACTTTAAGTAAGGGCAGATAATCCATGTAGGATTTTCTTCCTGGAATCCATCTGCCCTTAGCTCAGACATGCAGGCAGGAGGGTGTGCTTAGCTGAGAAAGCCCATCCTCCCTTCCTGATGACTCCTGCAATGTATTACAACATTTTCTTAGGCATGGAAACCAGGAGTAACTTAACCCCTTGACGCCGAGCGCACGCAAATATGTGGCCTCTCGGCGTCTGGGCCTTGTAGCCGAGCGGCCGCATATTTGCCTTATAATCTTCCCTTGCGATCGGGACCTTTTCCAATCATGTGAAGGCAGTCACGTGACCCTGAAACCCCGCCCGCCTACTGAAACCTTAAAGGGCCAGGAGGCGCCAGCACTAAGAGGTTAAGAAATGTAAAGAAAAAGGGGTATACTCTCCTATCCATTTACTAATGCTAGTAGCATAAGGATTAAAAATAGTCAATCTTGATTTAGAGAGTGAAGTTCCCCTTTAATGACAAACCTTAATAGAAAAAAAAAAAACAAAAAAAAAAAACACAACACACAACTTTACTCGTGCTGTGCTCAGACATACATATTTAGTGTTTTTACTAACCCCAGTCGAATCATCCATGAGTAAAACTAACGTAATTACCACTTCAGTTAGAAATTATAACACTGTGATATCTAATTTATCATTGCTAACAGAGATCAGAAGCTTTGTGCATATCACAATTTGATTTATGATATTCTTTCCATAGTTTAGAACATTTGCACCTGTAGATCTTAAATGATGTGTTTGTTACTTCATGATGATGATGATCATACCACAAATATCACATTCTGCAACCTCTGCTGTTACCGACATGCAATAAAGAAACTAAACTATGCTGATAGATAGAGCGTAAGAATGGCAACTTCTGTGTCTGTATGTAAATAGCGGTCATTTGAATATTCCAACAATAGTACATAAATAACAGGGCTCTGAAAGGCACCGAACACAATTAGCTTCTGATGTGCTATGTCAAGTGGAACAACAAGCTCAACCCTTGTATAAAAATATTGGCGTGATTTCAATCCAATAAAGCAGCGTGCGTACTCCACAAAGTGTGCACACCATTTAACACATCTATTGACGTACCTCTGGAGTGTCATCTTCAATCTTCTCGTTTTTTTTGTAAAGGAGAGAGGAAAAGGATGGTCAAAAAGCCAATTCACTCCTTTGCAAAACTCTATATCAATGCGCACAGTGGTAGCAAAATATAAGCACAATATGCTGCAATTTCTAAAAGAAATCTACTTTTATTCTATTTTAAAATATAAAGTGCAGCTACATTTCACCAAAGAGCTGAAGCGGCCAAGAACTGATGTTTCTCCACTGAATGGAGAAAAAGACTAGGCGCTACCAGGGCAGGGGTATTCAATGCAATCAAATTGTAACTTGCATATATATCTTCAGCTAGAACTGTGGACAAGCTATGAACGTTTAAAATTTACATTGTAAATGAATACAATCCTTAACAAGCAAGCCATCACTGACCTTCGTAGCTGTAGGAACTGAGGAATGGGCCCGACACCAAATACATGAGAAAACCCCAGCAGAGGTTCCCAGTAATTATCTGCAGGAGCTAGTGCCAATGAAAGTTATGGGAGGCTTCTGGCTGTCGCAGTTAATCATGTCTGCTCACATGTAAATCACTCATGCAGCAATCACCTGCAAGAGATCGACCCTGGTAGTACACAGGGCTGAATTTAATAGAAAAAGATCTGATGGGAACCCGACCCATCCTCCCCTTTCATCCATTGTTTTCACTGCATCCATCATAATCTTTGAATGAGAATCATATGACTTATGAGACTCTCCCCCATTTCAGAGATCTTGTTACTTGCAGTGAAAGCAATGACAAAATTGTATTGAATGAAGGAGGGGTGGTTCTCGGGCAGGAACATTTTCTACTGAATTTATCCCTGAGACTCGAAGCTATTACCTCCCCTCCAGCACGCTGAAAGTATAAAGGAAGAAAAAAGGCAGGGCTTCCCTACAGTGAAGACTTTTACAGGATCCAGCAGTCTGCATGTGGTATATACTTAGATACAGGTAATTTGGTCAATAAAGCTGATGGGCTAAAAATCATTTTTAGCTAAACATCAGCTTTAAAAGTGAATTGTTCCACAGTGCCTGCCGCTACAGAGGTCAGTAAGTAAATATTTCAATAGCCATAGCCTGGCCACAATTTAAGGTGAGAGTTAATACAGTGTGCTGTGGACTACAGCTCATTGGAGCACCTCCGGCAATATAAAGAGTCAGACATACAGACCTGCAATTGAAACCGCATTAACTGTTCTAGCATCTACCCCTATAGCTGCATAGCAAGCAGGCAGTCAATTAGTGTCTCTACTCAAGGAAAAAAAGCACTGAATTCCTAATAGTACAGTACCTTTGGGAGAACCCTGGTGTCCTTAAAAAAACATCATATGCTATTAAATGACCAATATAATAAAGAAGGAAAACTTAAAATTACCTCTTTCTCCTTTTTCTTCTTATCATCCTCTTTCTTTTTCTTACTTTCTGGCATCAAATCATCCAACCAGCTTAGCTCACGTTTGGTGAAACAGAAGTCCAACAATTTGCGAATAAATACCAGAGCAAGGACCTGAAGCAGAAAGCATCGAAAATGTATACATTGTGGTGTAAGGTATCGTCTATACAGCAGCAAGAAAGAGCTTGTCCACTGCTTATCTGGGATCACTGCTTGTAGCAAAAGTGCGCAGTAACCTGCTATGTAAAGGCCTACATAGCTCAAAATGAATTGAGCTTTTTTCTGCCGTCACTCTTCTATGTTTCTATGAAATACATAAATATGGACATGTGTTCTCATTAAAGAAGGATGCAGGAACGATGGCCTTTTTATTGAAGTGTGAGTGCTGATGTCCTTTAAAGCAGAATTCCGGGCAAAAATGTTTGCCTGTGCAGTGCGGCTTGTCTGCACTGCATGGGTTAACTGCTCGTTTTGCTCTAGGGGAGAGAACAGATGAGATATACTCACCTGACCCACCAATCCTCCCCACACAAGACTGGTCCCTAGGACTCCTGCCCCTCTACGATCCAGCAGTCTTGTAAATGGACTGTTCCTGAGATTAGCACACTTAAAGCATACTCCATGCACAGAAACCGTTCACCTCTGGACTGGGGGGAAGCACAGTTTTCTGGAGGATCAGCAGGTCAGGAGAGTATAAGCTTTGTGCTCACCCCTAAGGCTAGGTTCACATATGTGCGGGTGGTGCCGCTGCGGATCCGCACGAACATCCGTGCAGTCACACCAATCGCACAGAGGAATGTGGACCCATGGGTGGGTGCCATTAGTTCTAGTGGCATGCCGCCCGCACTGGAAAACGCAACCGTACTGAGAACCAAGGTTTCCATGTGGGCTGCGTTTTCAGAAGAAGTGCATGGACTTTTTCTTTGCGAGTCACGGGGCATGGGAGTCCATTCAAATGAAGGGGCTCTCAGGCCCGCACAAAAAACGCGGCCTACGTGGCCGCATATATGTGAACCAGGGCTTAAGTAGCTGATCCATGCGGTGGAGACCCAAACCCACTGCATGATTGAAAAATTTTTTTTGATCGGAGTTCTTCAATATTTAACATACATTCCACTCTTGGCTTCTAAGTCATAAATCAATCGAACTGTTATATTGCTTCCATCAGTGTGGTAAAGCAGAACTCTAGCTAAATACACATTTAAAAAGTATATACATTTGCTGATGTACCTGCCAGATGATGTGTAATTCGGTTTAGCCAGTTTTGCAATTTACATACACCTGACAGTGCACAGGCAGTCAGACACATTGATTTCCTCACTCCGCAATGATGATTCTTAGGTCATCACCAAGAGTGCCTGAACAAAATGATAATTCTTTTGGGAGGCAAACAGTAAAAATATATTAATTTCAACTGAATATTTTTTTTTTTTCAAATATCTGGCCAAAAATGTGTTCTCTATATAGTGGTTTTAACGTGTTGCATTTCTTTTTGCTTCCTAAAGTGATCCATGAACTAATTTGCTAGGATGGAAAATGTAGAGTGAAATGGCTGAACACAAACATACATTAATAGTACAGTATACAAATGGTGTATGTTGCCTTGTTTTCTGGAAGTAGCAATAAAATATGAATATAAAAAGAGTAATCAACAGCCAACATTTAAAGCAGATAACTCCTGTTTTACAGAAAGAATTTTAAAATGTTGTAAATGATCATTTACCATCATGGGAAACACAACAGCAGCTTGAGATGCTTTGATGACCCATAAAAGAACGAGGCAAGTAAGCTGTATGACAGTGAACACATGTACTTTCCAGAGGGGAACGTAACGCAGGTAGATGAGGTCTGGCTGATGTTTGGCTGGCATTCCAAATAGCTTTATCCGGTCAAAGAACTGTAAGCAGACACAGAAAGAAGTAAAATAATACATGTGAGGCAATGCCATGTATCTCACTTTATAAAAAAAGTAAATATATATTAATAAATAAATATATATATATATATATATATATATATATATATATATATATCCATCCATCCATACATGAAGAGTAGCTTCTGCACAGCGCATGCAGGACTTGGTTGCTAAGCACACGAGACACAAGTTGATGTGGTGCGTACATGCATGGTTCTAAAGGCTCAAGGTTTTTTACCTTCATGCATTCTATGCATGAGGGTAAAAAACCTTCCCTGTGCAGCACCCCCCCCCCCCCACCCCCCTAAAAACTCACCTAAGTCCCCTCTTGATCCAGTGATGTGCATTGGTCTCAGTTATCCCGGGACTCTCTCTCCTCACTGGCTGAGACAGAGGCAGGAGCCATTGGCTCCCACTGCTGCCAATCACAGCCAGTGAGCCAATCAGAAGAGGGGGGGCAAGCCATGGCTGTGCGTTTGTGAATAGACATTTGGAGCAGCAGGCGCTCCCAGAGCACCCGACACAAGCACCTGCAGGGGACCTGAGAAGAGGAGGATCCCGCTGCTTTGTGCAAAACCACTGCACACAGCAGGTAAGTATACACGTTTGTTATTTTTTTTTTTCAAATAAGCCTTTAGAATCACTTTAAAGTAGAACGAAAGGCAAAATTTATTATTTTTATTTTTTAGTTTTGCACAGAGTGGAGAGGGATTAGAACATCTGTCAGATTTTATTGCTCACTGTCCCCCTGTTAGGGAGATTCACTCTCTCTACTTGTTCTGTTTACCATCATCATCATTGAAAGTAAAATAAAATTGCAAATTTTGGGTTGTCCCCAGAAAAGTAATAAAGAGGAAATCTTCCAATGGGGACACCAGTTCTGGTGACCTGAGGGTACCCAAGAAATTCCCTAATTTGCAGAGATTTCCTTTCTCTTCCCATTTTGGCTATGGGACAGGAAGTGAAGGTAAATCTCCCCAGTAGCACACACATACAAAAAAAAAAAAAAAAAAAAAAAACACAACAACAACGGGACAGGGGTTATAACCCTCCCTTTCTCTATCCAAAAATAAAGTTTTGCCTATAGTTCTATGTTACAGTGTTCCCTTCAACTGTGCTTTCAACTATATTTCAACTATATAGCATTGGAGGGCATTGGTTAACAAACTGTCAACTGTGCATGTCCACACATGAAGTGCATGTGTAATCTGATCACACACTGCCTGCATACTTCCAGTTCCAGCGCCACAGGACACGCAGGAAAACAGATACTGACACATACAATTGGTGCACCTGCCCACACTTTTCCAGTGCTTGCTGCCAATGAAATGGTTCTGTACTGTGTTATATGCTATACATTCTATTCCTCAAACTGCTGGACTTTGTATTGTGCATCGTACATTCATTCTGCTATAAATATTTGTCTGAATCCTGTAAATGAAGACTTACCTGGATACCCTTTAATGAAGACACTCCCATATACAGAAAAACACCATACAGAACCGGCATTGGAATAAACTGTAATGATATATAAAAAAATATTAGCAAGAATGCATCATCATAACCTACAGGATTTACTACAAGTGCTGCCTGAAAACACTTTATTCTGTTACTTTCACAAAATATGTATATTTTTCCCTTGGATGTAGTCTTATACAGCACTGGTCATGGACCAACGCCTGACACCATAAAAGTCCAACATTAGTTGTACTGTAGCATATAATACCTTTGGATGAAAACATTAAAGAAAAAAAATACTGAGGGGAAAGAAAGACAAGAACATTCAAGTAAGGAAAGAATATAAAGGAATTATATCCTAGGTGTTGCAATCCTATGTAAAATACTGAAATATACTACAAAAATGGGAAAACCTCCTGGATTATAATTTATTTATATGCTTTCTATTGGTATACATCATTATACTTTTACATTTTAAATGCGATTTACAATATTATAGTTAAAAAAAAGGATTCCTGTACTGGGTTTGTGTTTGTTGGTACTTGGTCAATGGGCATACAAGGGGCAAAATTTACAAAGCTTTACACAAGAAGAGGGATCTTTAGAGGGATCTTTATTTTTAGCCATGAAAGGGCAGCCATACACTTCTAGATTTCTCTCGTTCAGCCTGCTGGAATTTAATAGATAGAGTAAGGTAGGTAGTAGGGCGCGTCGGTGGACGATGCTGTGGAAATATGGCAGCTGATGATGGATGGTGTGTAGGTAAATCGGTACGGAGCAGCACTTCTAAAGAATGGAGACAAACTCTGTGCAGAAGAAGGTAAAACAAGAAGGCGCTTCTAAGTGCAGTATTCCATTGTGTTTTTAACCGCTTTTTATTAAAGTTGACCTGGAATACTGCACTTAGAAGCGCCTTCCTGTTTCACCTGGAATTTAATAGATGCCTCCATCTATGCTAAGCAGTGTTGATGGAAGAACCTCCCTGCCAGCTATTGTATTCTGACACCCGGCTCTAGTGACTGTCAGAATAATCTAACAGTGTCCCTAAACAGTACACTATTTTTCACCCAACTCTTTTAACAATAGTTGAATTAAAAATTGGCTTTTTTAAAACTGTGGTGGCCCTGTTGGCATGGGTACCAACAGGATCATCCATGATTTGAATTTAGGCAGATTCAGCAGGAATCAGATGAAATATGAGCAGTCTATGCCATCCTTTACTGTCATACTAAAATTTAAATTGCACTCAGCTGAAAATGAGACCTGTTGCACACAGGAGTAAAAAAAAATGCTGTGTTTTTTATTAATCTGAAATGAGATGCATGGTTGTCTATGGGACACTGCACACAGCTGAGTACAGATCAGTAGTACAATGTTGAGTACAGAGCAGCAAAACAAAAAATAGAAATTTTTTCATTTGAGTGCAGTATTTTACCAACAGGTTTACTCATTTAGGCCCCTTGCACACGAGCGTCATAATTTACTGTTTACTCATGTGCAAGGGACCACAGTACTGGCAATGAAGAATTTTACTTGTCTATACTCTTACACACCTTTTCTTGCCTATACTAAACATTATTCAGGTCTTTACACACAGTTTTTGGCCCCTTACACATGCGCATCAAAAGTTCCTGAGGAAACATCAGTAAATTATGTTGCACATGTGCAAGGGGCCTGTCACTTTTTGAAAACCAGAATCGTTATTCTGGTATTTTAGCTTTGTAAATGGAGCATGAAGCAATGTGGTAACGAGGTATCCTGCACTTGGCTCCTTCACAACTTGATAAACAGTCCACTTCCCCGACTTTGAAATATAGTGCTGGCATGCCTTGCTTTCCCCTTGAGGACTTGTGAGTATCCTTTCATGCAACACTACAAAACAGCAAACAGAAGGCATGCTGACGCTAGCGCATTACTACTACACAATTGTATTACAATTTACTCACAAACGCATGATAGTGGCAAGCGTGTCATAAAATACAGATGCGACTGCCTCCAGATCCACACCGTTCAATAGGTAGCATGGGAAGACCTTTCAGCCTTCAATTCGGCTTATGCGATTTGAGGGGTGAACCCTCTTCCTCAGAGCCAAAAGCTCTGAGGAAAAGAGCTTGCCCCTCAAAATGCGTAAGGTGCATTGGATGCTGAAATGTCTTCTCTTGCTACTTATTGAATGGTGTGGATCTGGAGGCAGTCGCATCTGTATTTTATGACACGCTTGTCAGTATCATGTGTTTGTGAGTATATGACTTGTTTTATTTATGAATAAAATTGTGCAGTAGCAATGAGCTAGGCCGGTGCACCCTGTTTGTTGTTTTGTAGCCTTTAAAGCCTGCTTGTGTTCCCAAGGATATTTCTCTGATGTCAGTTACCTGGATAAGAAATGCAGAGATCTTCCTCATAAGAACACAAACAATAATAAAATCCAACCAGAGGCTCAATTTTTTTCTAACTTTTAAAAAAGGGGAAGGAGTGGTTCCCCTTGTTCTGTATGACCCATTACAGATAGAAACTAAGGAGGATTATCAATAGATAAAAGTCATTCAGTGTAGATTAGGGTGTGTTTGCCATCATCCCTATTTCCATAATATCCCCCAAAGCGGATTTCCATCTTGCAACCTCAGATATATTCAGTCTGCAGTCAAACATTTTTGTATGTGCTGATCAGCAAAACAAAGGAAAAGTGTATAAATAAAATGTTGATTTTTTTTTTAAATAATTGGTTTCTTTGTGTATAATCCAAGGTTTCCTTAAAAATCCCACTAAATGTAAGATCTAGTTCTCTCTATTAGGAGTATTATCAAATGACACATTTAACCAAAAAAAAAAATTAAATACAAAAATATGTTTTTGTCTGGAGTCGAGGAGTTGTTGCTATAGCCCAACATGGTATTTGATTCATTCCAATTGATGAATGCAGCTCAAGAAAGGACACTGAACAGCATAAGCCTGTGTAAGCGGCCTGCTTTGCCACTGTTAACAGTCTGGAAAGACTGGTGGATTTACACTATGAGCCATGACTAACGATGACACAGCACACAAAACAAATATGTTGTGCTTGTATTTGAGCTTTTGTTCCTTGCCCCATATTTTAAGCAGTTCCAATGGAATGCAACAGTAAGCATGAGTTGTGCGTTTTACCTTCAAGATGTAAAATGCTTTAAATGCCACTGTCTTATCTTTACAAGTACATCTATTATATGAATATATAAAGTATACAATAAAACATAATGTGCTTACGGCAAGATCTCTTGTGAACAACGCAATGACAAAGACGCTGAAAACATTTACGTGCATGAATGATGCTTTGAATAGGTCAGCATGCCATCTTACCTTTAAAATAGAGGTCATAAATACAGACAGTCCCATCAGAACAAAGATCAGAAGACCTGTCACTCGCTGCTCTCTGATTCCCAGGAATTTTGGCTGCTCTCCTGGAGCAGAACATTCAGATTCCACTTTTAAGCTGTTAACATGGCTGATGGATAGAACAGTTGCAGCTACAAACCATGGCAGTCCCATGAGAGAACACACACCCAGCATGATAGCAACCATGAATAAGTCAAGATGGTAGCCGCATCCTTTCTGTAAAAGCAAGAACAACATCTCATCATAAAGCCACACTTGTTCACCTCAGTGCCATTTGTTATTACAGCTCTCCTAGACCGGCTCATCAATTTTGACAGTAAATGAGAAATCTGCCTGAATGTGAATGGTATGCACCCATGATCTTCCCAACTTTCCTACCTAGATTATTTCTTTTAGGCAGTATATGGAAAATTGTTCCTTACTTTGAAGAAAATATATAAACCTTAAGGTTCCATTTACACTTGCGTGACTCCAAAGTTGTGCAATTTCCACTGTGACTTTGATGAGTGCGACTTTAGCTGTTGACTTTGGTGTTGATTGTTGCACAACTGCTGCATTGATAATTATTAAGATGCAACTTTCAAATGACTTTTGAGAGTTTACGTTGAAGTTTGTGGCACTCAAGTTGCAAAAAAGTCACACCAAAAGTAGTGCAGGAACCTTTTTAAGTCGCATAGATGCGAATGACTTTCACTGAAAATGCATGGACTGCGACTTATCATGCGACTTTGTGTCCAAATTCACATGACAAGTTACACAAGTGTGAATGGAGCCTAAAGGGGATTTCTAGGAAAACTTTAGTCTATATTTGTTCCTCTGGTCTATTTGTTGGGCGGGGGGGTTAGGGGACCCATTTAAACTATTGGGGTTCATTCGAGAATGTGCATTATGCTGCCATTTAACATTTTGTGTGCCAAGGAAGCCCATTTCAACTGGGCTGCTTAAAAAGATAAGTTCACTTTAACAAAAAAAAAAAAAAGCGTACTTTGCTGGTGGAATATGTGTTTCAAAGAACTAACGTGTGTTGGGATGCTGAGCTTTCTAGAATTACATGCATTTTTTTGGTACGTTAGGTAGCCCATTGAAATGAACAATCAGGGTTTTGGGTATATATGTTACTACTGTTAACAGAGATGGGTTACAAAAGTACCTTAAGTTTGTGTTCTTTTCGATTAATGATCACCGCTGTGATTTGCTGATCCATGAAGATTAGAATGGTACAAAGCAGAGCTGGAATAGCAGCAGCTAGTAAAGTCCACCAAGGATTCGTTCCCAAAGGATCTATAAACCATCCTCTGTCCTTCAATGTGGGCTAAAAACAAAAATGTAAAAAAAAAAAAAAAACCCCATATATTAAAAAGTAAAAAAAAACGAAGATGTGTTTTAAAGCAGCCATTAAAATCACATTTTTACATGGGTTAATAAAGCATTTCTGAAGAAAGAACTGTTTACCGAGACATTATCTAGCATTCAAAGTGGTCACCTACTGTATATAAGATACGTTAACTACCTCAAATTTTTCAGGAACATGCAGCTTTGGAGAAGGAACACCCACAAGATAGTCAATGAGTACCATAATGACTATTGTGAGGAAGATGGCAAAATCACTAATTGTAGATCGCACCTGTGGAAATACAGAAGATGTTATGAAAAAAGTGTGATGG